AAACACCATTCGCTAAGCACCACATGGGGTCTCGAAAATTGAAGATAAATTTTAAGGCGGCAATTTATGATTTGTGAGCATAAGCGTGAGTCTCGTTTCAGACTCAGTCCACAGCCTCGACCCCGTTGCCAGTACCTGGCTGGAGCTGGAGCTGTTGGTCTCTTGGTCTCTCGGTCTCCTGGTTGCCTCGGATGCTTTGGTTACCCGGGGTAGACAATCAGTAGAGCCGTTGTTGACAAGTGTGGAGTGTTTGCCGCCGCACTCCTTCACTCACGACGCTGCTGAGCACAGAGCACAGAGCACAGAGCTCCTTCTCCCTCTTCCTTTCCTTGCAACAAGCTGGCCCGTTTTTCAATTGTGCTTGCCGCGATTTTGCTGCCCGCTGCGCCTTTGACAGCCACACCGAAAGCTGAATGCCATACTCTTCCTTCCTCTCTCTCCCTCTCTGTCTCTCTCTCTCTCTCTCTCTCTTTCTAATTGTGTATTTAACTCTCTCTCTCTCTCTCTCTCTCAGCTAAGCAGTGCAGCTGACAAAGCGAATTGGCTTTGCAGTTGCCTAAGGGCACCTTCAATATTGTTATACAAATGACTTTTACCAACTTTTTGCAAGTAAAAACTTTCAACAAAAAGACTCTCGAAATAATTAATTTTTCATTAATAGAGATTTACTGATATAATCTAAATATAATTAAAATTAGTGCTGAAAATTTGTGCGTCAAATAACTCTGATATTATTAGACTTTTACCAGGCTTTTGTAAATAAAAACTTTCCAATATAAGTCGAAATAATTATTTATTTATGCAGAGCTTGGCTGGCATTAGAAATAAAATTAACATTTTTTGGATTGTTTGAAATTATTTAAAAATATTTTATATATTCAAAATATATTATATACAGAAATCTGCGTCTTTAATTTTATTTCATAACTATACTTAAATAATGAAGACATGTCAGTCAGTCAGTCTGTACGAATAGACTGAAGTCATAGAGCTAAAGAAATTTGAAGATAAATTCTTGTGTGCCTATCGAATTTAAGTTTAAAAAGAACAAGATAAAATAAATATCGATAAATGTCGCCGTTGAACGAGTATCGATACTAATCGATTAAAGATATTTAATTGAACACGTATAACCTCTCATTTGATTTATAATATAGCCAGACATATTATTGATCAAATGTAAAAATGTGATAAAGATAGTACAAGAATCATAGTTTCGTATTGAACAAGTTACCATCAACAAGACTATTAACTCTTCAAAAGGTTCAGGGCGTCTCCTAGTCGAGATATCCTGACTTGAGTATACCAGCGTGCTATTGCAATTATATTTACTAAATAATTAACTGGGTAACTTAACCCATAATTACAATTATAACAACTGCAATATTTCCTATAGCATTAAATTTAGATTTGTTTTTTATAATTCTCCGCTTCGAATTCAATTTACATTTTGTTATGCATAGCTTCAACTTTGATAGCGCTAATTATTTAGTTTAAGAACCTAGAGGGAAATTATATATGTCCTTAAGTTGGCAATTAACAAACTAGTCTTAAATAAAAATCACTTTCGTAGTTTGCGCGTTGACTTCGACACTCTGCCGCAACACACACTGTGGTGTGGTGTGTGTCATGTGACCAGAGGGAAGGCTTATAATTGAAGCGACTCCACAGTGCCGCAAGCACTGCTTACAACACCCTGCTGCAATTATTCATTCACTTGCGCGAACAAGGTCCCAGGGTGCAAAGAAAAAGAAGATCCCAAGTGGCTGTTTGCTGGAATCGAAGCAGCCTGCAAACAATCCAACTTGGCGAGTCTACAGCAGCGAAAATGCGAATATGCACAAAAAAAAGAGGGTTTTATGAATGCGCACATGAAAAATGGAACATCGTTAAGAGCAATTCATAATAAAATACTCGACGCAAGATGCTGGAGATGCTGGAGATCAACCGAACGAGGTTTCCACTTGGCTCTGGCGGTCAGCCTGGCATTGGATTATGCTGCAACCCCAACTCCAACTCCGACTCCAACTCCAGCTTCAGCTTCAGCTCCTCAAGCAGCATACAAATTATGACTGCAAGCAGGATATTGGGTTAAAGTTTTTCTTTTTTTTGCAGCTGATTTCGGTTTTTGGTTTTTTCGATTTGCGCTCAGCCCAGCTCAGCTCAGCTCGGTTGGGTTCGGTTCGGTTCGGTTCGACTAAATGAAGCTGTTGGAACGAAGGAAGGCATTTCAATCAGCAGCGACCCCAAATAACCAACTAGTGTGTCTACCTTATCAATAATTTTATATTTTCATATGAGCATATCCCAGCGAGCGATAGGCCATAAATACAACAGCAACAACAACAAGGAATGACTAGGGAAATTTATAGAGTCTGTTGCCGGGGTTGTCAGGTGAAATAAATAATAAATTCGTTATATCGGCCGACATTGCGGCGGCTATCAACAGTCAGCAACTGCAACAACAACAACAACAATAACAATAACAATAACGATTGCCACAAGTTGAGGGGCGTATAGATGATGGCACGCCCACATTTAAAGTCCGCTGCTGCTGCCACACAGCTGCGAGTGGCGGTTGCTTGTTGCCTGCACCCGCGGCCAACAAATTTGAATTCAATGAAAGATGAAATCATTAAGTTTGAGGCAATTTCAACGGAGAGACTCCAACATGGGCGAACTGTTCAATCGTGTGGCAAATAATATGCAAAAAAAAAGGGGAACTCTGCAGCGGGGGGTGGTTGGGGCGTTGTTATGACATTAGCAAGGCGGCTTTTGCGGCAATGCCTGTAATTAAATGGAAGTTATGCCAAACCCTAATGAGAGCCATACAAATCATATATCAATAGAATCACGCATGAGCTGAATTTGACAAAAATGTGCTGCCTATGAAATGAGGGAGTTATGCAATTAGGCATACATTGTTGCGGCTCAAACTTGTCGCTTGTTGATGCCATTGAAGGGCATAATCAGCAGTCCATGTTGCATGTGGCATTGTTGCCTAATAAATATCAGAAGCAGTGGCAGCAGCAGCAGCAGTGGCAGCAGCAAATTTGCCCGAGAGAGTTTTGGAGTTGGACAACAAAAGGCGCACATAAATCAACGATCAAGACAATTGCCCTGTAATAATTTTAACTTCTTTAAGTCGCCTGGCCAGCCCACACTGCAGACAGTGAGACACCAATAGCGATCTTGGCGGCACATAAAAATAACAGCTTATCGGCAGAGAGAATCGTGTCGTAGCACGCCTACCAACTCAAAAAGGCATTAAAATATGAAACAACAATTGCAAACCAAAACGAAACGAACTGCAGATGGCAGTTGCCACAGATGGCAGATGAAGGGAGACGATGGAGGTGGGGGTGGAGGTGGAGGTGGTTCACCTCAGGTGAAATCAACAGCAGCAAAACTTTGGGACGGGCAACGGCATTCCTGTCACTTCGACTTCTCGACTTGCGATTTTGCCCTGTTGTCTGTGGCCTGTGGTCTGTGGTAGGCGGCAGTCATTCGGCACGTTTCGCCTGGCAACTGGCAACTGGCAACTGGCAACGGGCTTCGTGAAATTCCTAACCATGCCCCACCCTGCCGCATCCCATCCAGCTTAGCGTAAGATATATAGCTGTATCTGTATAGCGCCCCCGACTCAAATCGCCATTGTTCGCGCAATTCGCGGCAGACAGTCGCTTACTTACAACTTACAACTTGCAACTTACAACTTACTCCACAATTCGAATTGCATGCGATATCTCAATTTGGAGGCTCTTTGAGGCAATAGGATAACACTGAACATTGAGCCAGGCCAAATCGATCGCTGTATACCCTATAAACTTATCAAAATAATATTGCACAAATCTCAATTTGATTCAAGTTGATTTGTTATTGCATAAATAGAGAGTGGTTGAGCTGCACTTTATTTTAAGCAATTAAGTTTTAATATTTCACATTTAACTGAACTTCTTTGAAGGCCTCATGAATCTCAAAGTATCACAAAAGAATCCATTTTCAAATTAAATATATAATCTGCATTAGAGTAAGCAAATATAAATAAGTTTATATTAAGGTTGGTTGAAGTAAAAATATGTAAATAATTGGAGTAAATAAATATAAATAAATAAATAAAAATTAGATAGTAAAACCCATTAAATATGGCTATTTTTTTAATTAAAAATTGTTCTATTGCATTTAAAAATTTAATAACTTATATATAAATACAAATATTAAGAATATATTGTACATTAAGAATAAATATATTTCTCCCAATACATTTATCTAAGTTTTAAATAGCGAATGCAGAAAAGTATATTGGATTCATGCAATGTTCATCTTTCCATTTTGAAGATAGACTTAAAACATCGAATATAAATTCATCTATTTGCGCGCCAGACAAGGGGTTAATCGGTAGTTCGGGAAATATAAGTAATATAAGTCAATATAATAATAATTTTACAAATTTCTATGATTACTGAATGACAATCTAATTAATTACTTTTGATTACTTACTTAATTATTTTTGGATAACTTTTGACAATCTAAAGGCTCCTCTTGTGAGTATTATTTTAAGACGAAAAACGGGTTACTTTTGACCAAGTCTGGGTCAGAATCGGGTTTCTAAATTTAAATAGTATTAAACTAAAAATCAAACTGTGATAAAATACAAAGGCTTTCCAAAATCTGATCTCACTTTAGATAAAGCTTAGCTCTAAAGTGTTTTAACCTAACTCAACGAGAACTTTTATATACAATTACAAACCAAGAACTCAATTCATGAATTGGCAGTCGCTAATTACACAATAAAGTCAAAACACCCGAATCGCAGTTGGTTGCATTTGAGACTTGGGCTAAAATGCAATTTTTGGTGGTCTGTAATCAGTTGGATCTTAAAGACCGTGGCAAACTGGTTGCCAATCAGAGGTGGATACGCCTTTTTTGCTGGCGACTCAAGTTGAACAAATTGCGACATAGTCAACTGGGCGCCTAAAGTCCGAGGCAGCCGAAGCTTTGAATTCTCAAACCCAATCCGAATCTAAACACAATCCAAAATTTGTACAGAAAGTGCTCAGAGGCACAAGTTGCCAAATGTTTTTGATTTGTGTAAAATTCATGTGAATCGAAGGAATGGCCGGCAAGCAGCCAACATGCCAGCAACTGGCGTATCTGGACGAGCTGAAGGAGCGTCTGCAGGAGCTGCACCAGCGCCAGGAGGCCTTCATGGAGCAGACCGCCGAGATGCTGCGTTGCATCAGCACCGATCAGCAATCCGTGCCACAGATAGCATCCCCATCCATATCCGATACGAGCAATAACGAGGAATGTTCAGGTGGTAGTATTAAGCAGTTGATACAACGCTTCGAGCACTTGCGCCAGACATCCAGACAATTCAGCGAAGAGCCGCTGCCCGAGGAGTTGGCCGGCGTCGATGTCCGCAGACTGCTCCAGGGCTATGAGAAGCTAATTGTGGAGGGCAAAATACTGCAAAAGTCCTGGCTGCTGCTGAAGAAAACCACCGAGAACTGTGCGCGTCTGAGCAACAGAGATGAGCGTATGTTGAACAAGACCAGCTCAAAATCACCTTCTTTCGCAGAACCAGCAAGCGGAACGACCAACCAGACAGTCCATTCCACGATCATCAGCTTGTCCACAACTTCCGGTTTTCTGTCTCGGGCTACTCAGGATTATGAGAAGAAGTCCGGCCATGTTTCCAATCGTAGGTATTGATTTATGCTTCACAGAAACTGTTAAAGGGAAATAAGTAATATCTGTAATATGTCTAGGAAAGGCTAGAGGGCAACGCTTTGGGGCACTACTACAGCTGGCACTGCGCATCAGTCGCATCAAGGGGAAAAAGCGCTCTAATGGGAGCCAACGAGCGGAAGCCATAACAAATGATCTGTCAAATAGTAAATAGTATGACAATAGCCCAAAAAAGACTCGACCACTGATTAAAATCGAGCTCTCTCTCGCAGCAGCAGCCACAGTGCATAAATCACACACACACCACACATCAACATGTCAATATTTTGCCTAATTAATGTGGGTTTTTGAGGCCGCATCCATTTCTCGGGTGTCAAGTGCAATGAGAGGGAACTCTCCATGCCACTCCGAGTGGGTCTGCATCGGGGGTACCCGTAGGGACTGTGGCTGGTTGGACCACCATCAGACGCTAATGTAGCTGTCGCTACAACGGGGTAGGGGGCAAGATGGGTCCGATGTGTGGCAGCAACTGCTGCGCTGACAGCGCATTTTAGTCGACCATGGAATACCGAAAATAAATCTTGGCATCTCGTGACAGCAAACACACAGAGAGATAGAGAGAGAGAGAGAGAGAGAGAGAGAGAGGGTAGGGAAGCAGAGAAACGCAACGAAGACAAAATACTTTGCCCCACACGCAAAGCGAGAAGTAAACATTTAAATTTAAATTAAGTGGCTTGTTTGGCGTCATCGAATGCAGCAACTAATGAGACCCGGCTGAAGTCAGAGGAGTTGTTCTTGCACTGCTGGAATGGAGGAGCTGGTGGGGACAACATCATGCGAGATCACAGCAGGAAGCTTTCTCGTTAGCTTGCCACATTGCCACGGATATACATACACACATAAGCACATGTATAAATAGTATGCTGAGCAAATCTATTTGGGGGTTCTAATTAGTCAAGTCTGTATTTTTGAAATGACGTACATTTAACGAGCAGTTGCAGTGGGTGGCAACGCTGGTTAACAGATATAACAGCAGCATTAGCATTAGTCGTAGAAGAAGAGTCCTAGAAGAACAGCAGAATGATAGAGTCGAGTTCAATCGAGTCTAAAAGAAGTCGTCACAGTCCCGAGTAGCTAAAGTTGTAAGGTTGTCGGTGTGACCAGGAAATAAATCGTTGTTTTATAAAGTCGTATTTCACTGTAATATAGTTATATCTCTTATATTAATAATAAACAGGAAATAATTAAACATATAAATATATATTTAGTGAGAGGGCTTAGCTAAATGCTAGCAACTTGTATTTAATTATTTAACAGATATATCTTTAATTTGTAAAAATTAAGTATGTTGAACCGATCAAAAGAATGTAGCTGCAGCTAACAATAAGCAAATGATGGTTCATTTAACTAATATAACCATTATTATTAATAATCTGTTGTTCTGAATATACCTAACTCTTCCTCTACATTCATGTAAGTCTTAAATATATATACTCTAATAGCGAAGGTAGAAGATTATACAGGATTCACACAATAATCTGTCCATTTTAAAACTACGAACTAAGAATATAAATTCATCAATTTCCTGCCCATAAAATTGGTGTTAAAATTGGGATGAACACGTCAATAAAGTAAGATATCTCTCTCAAGTTTAGAAATTTCTATAATTAAAAGTCGAGTATAATCTTAACACGAAAAGCGTTTCAGTATCCAGTTGAAGAGATCAACATAATGTCGCGAGGGTTAATCGAGGGTTCAGTCGGTCTAAGGAGCCCATTGCTCAGCTGGAGTTCTATGAGAAACCCATTAGCTCCAACTAGATCCAATCAAATTGAAGGATTAAAAAATTATGTTAGAGGCACAAAGGAATACCATTGACCAAATGAACCAACAAATATACAATATCCATAACGAAATTGGTAGCACCTCCTTTGCTGATGCTCCACGTGCTCTTCTAAGCTTCTTCTTTGATGAATTAGGCGTTTTTGAGACAGCTAATCCTCGATGGACAGTCATCCAGCAGCGAATCAATGGGAACGAAGATTTCAACAGGAAATTGGGCAACTTATGGTGAAGGCTTTGATTTCTTTGATGGCAACTTCTGCTTGAACTTGGAGAAGAGCACACAACCTCATGAAAACTTTATATATATATGATACTGATCGAGAATGTATCCATGCTTCCTGCTGGCTGCTACAACTTCATTCTACACTCTTGACGCATTTTCAAAGGTTTTACGTTATCTTTTCTTCTAGCACTTGGCTAAGAATAATTAAATCGATTCTCTGATTCGGTTGAGAAACGTATCCAATAACACTTGCCTAATCAAATACAGAGTGTGTCATTATTTAGTTGAACTAAAAATACCGTTGCTTCAAATGTGGAAATACTGATCTTGGATAGAGTTAGGAGAGATAACCACACCTTGCTGGCCAGTCGCATAAGGAAAAGCATGTTTGGCAATGATTTGTGGCATCGACATCGCAATCGGCATTGGCATCGATGCAATGCGAGCCAAAAGCAGAGACATGAGATTCGAGACATGAGATTTGATATTTGAGACATGATTGAGACTGGAGACTAGAGAGACTTAAGGCCTGAGAGCTTATCGCACTGACACAAGCGCCGAGATGGCGATGGCGATGGCGATGCTAATCAGCTGCAAAGGTTGCCGCATGCAGCCACGAAAACAAGTTGCATGTATGAATGCAGCAACATGTGTTGCAGTGGCTGCCACAGCAAATCAAAACTGATGTACCAAACAAACACCCAATTGCAGTCATATTCGCAATACACAAACTGGCATACCCCAATTGCTCTGGTCTGGCGTCACAGGGTATCTTGAACAGCTGCCAGAGTTTTTTGCCATTTGTTGTCAAATCGTTTGTCGATATTGGTTATGAAAAATGTGCCTCACACCTAATGGCATGCCCCGAAAGCTGCAGCTGAGGTGTGTGGCCAAAGTCGCAGCAGGTGCATATCCATCGAAGATGCCACATGCAGCCATGCCACATGCTAGCTGTTGACCTACTCGATCTTATAAAACATGAACAGCTGTTTCGTGCAAAAAGAAATCTCAAAACACATATGCCAATAGGTGCGCAAATTTGACAATCATAAATGGGTTATTTAATAATAATTTACGAAATATTATAAATTGAATATTGCAAAATATAAATAAAGTAATCATTGAATCTAGATTTTAGCTGAGCTTGAAAGTTGCAAGGAAGAAAAAAGCGATTGAACTAGTTAAAAACTCAAATAGCAAAGTTAAAATTGTGAAAAGATGAAGAATAGGCAAACTCCTGATCTAAAGAAAATCGGAGCAAACTAGTCGATACAGGAGATAAAACACAGCTCTTAAATACATAAAAGTTTTTCTGTTATTATTTTGCTTAATGTGAAAAACTTGTTGGTAAACAAAATCTGTGTTTTTCAAGCGATCTTAATGACATTTTTATTATTGATCAATTCTATGTCGGGGTGCATTATATATTAATTGGAAGGTTAAATAATAATAATTGCTTCTTTTATTGCAATTTTTATGGAAATTGTTGGGTCAAACTAATTTGAATACAAATGATATGGAATGGTCAGCTGTTAATTTGTCAATTTATCGCTACTTTACATAACTCTGTTAAATCTTATTCACTTATGTAAACACTAAATTGTAATTTTAGTAAATATCGATAGTTTTCACTATCGAAGAGTCCGAGTTGGAGATTCAAGCAAGCCAGACGCGCGCTTTTGTTTCAGTCATAAATAAACTTACTAAATTAAATAGTTTAAACACCGCCCAGATCTGAAGTTTCATGTTTGCATAAAAAACGCTTTATGCATCGAACAGAAATTAAAATTTCGTTTCGATATTTTCGAAACGGGTGCAGTTATCGATGAAATAAAAAATTGTAAGCGTCTAGATATTATAGTCTCTAAGATTGACTTTTATATCGAAATTGACTAGATGCTGAATGAGAATATATACTCTTTATGGGATCCTTCCATGCCTATTACATGTTTTACCCAACTTTCTTATACCCTTTTTACATTTTTTAAAAGTTAATGTATATAAAACAAATAACTCACAATTCTAGTCAACTTTTATAAAAATAGATACATTTTTGATAATATTGATAGCAATCAAGAAAAGGATTAATATTATTTTGAGAGACAATTTTATAAAGACTTTGCTTATTTTAATTGTTTAATTAATTGTTCTGTTACCAAGCTTTGGCAGTGGCAGGCAGGAGAAGACTACAATTGCTTGTAGTCCTATCAGACAAATTAAGTCCTTTGTGGCAGCACAATGAGTCAAATATGGCTTAAGTTCTGCGGACAGATGTCTACCTAAGTATCCTAACCTAATATACTAAACTAGTCTAAATTGTTTGCAAGTTTAATGAACTTTATGAAAAAAATAATGCTTCAAATCTGGGAGCAACGATTCCTACAAATTTTTAAACATTCTCCAAATTTAAAGCAACACTAAGACTATTTGCAGTCGAGCGCTTTGTGAACCAATTCATTCTCATTCAAGTGAAAACAAACCATTTCCAATTCATAAATATTTGTATATATGTATGTGAATAATCGCATCTATATAGTACGAGTCGCGTTTAATCATTTGAAATTCGCGCAACATGCGCTGGATCATTAATCATTTTCGCATGCAGCAGCGAGTCGAAACTTGCTTGATTCGAAAACAAAATGAATATTTTTCGTTTGCCTCTTACGCAACACTGGTCGCAAGATTGATGTGACATTTGTGCGCTGGCTCTCGAGAAAATATGGCAGCCCTTGGCGAATGCTCTCCCCGAAATTGGCAATGAAAAATTCTAGTGGCAGACGAAACGACATTTCAATTTGAAAGTGCTGGGCACTAAAACCTTACTTCATTCTCTCCCTCTCTCTCTCTCTCACTCTCTCTCTAGCTGTCTCACTCTCTCTAGCTGTCTCACTCTCTCTCATTTGCACTCCCGAGTTGGCCGCGATGACAGTGAGTGCGAGAAATATATCGCCAGCAGCATATTTTTGGGTTTTGGGTTAACTTGCTTCGCATTTGCCCTCGCCTGGCTGCCTTGCCACAGTCGCCGCACAGTTGCCACACAGTTGCCGCACAGTTGCCGCACAGTTGCCATGCCATGGCAGACATTCTGGCACGCCATCTATCATTTTGTGCTCCACAGCTCTAAGGGTTGTTGATGGTCTCCATAAATTATTTTTGCACGCGCGCCCTTGGCTCCGCACAAACATTTTTGCGCAGTGTACAAGACCTTAAAAGATACGCGGCGAGAGTTCC